GAAGAATTGCAGTTTGGGATATGCAACTGGTAGACCATAGGCACATCCAGAGAGGAAGGAAAGGTGGTTTGCTTTTATAGGGAAAAGGAGGGAGTCGGGAGGGGCTGTAGGAACCAGAATCCTCTGAAGGAAGCTGGGAGCCCAAAGTATGGAGGCTTTTCATTGCTTGGGCTGCTGCGGTCTTCGATTGGCTGGGCTGTCAGGGTAGAGAGAAGTTTTCTTCTTCCTGCAGGATAGTAAAGTGGGTAACACCTTCCTTCCATTCAGGATGTAGTGTCTCTTCCTGTTTGGAGTAACTGACCATGCATGGCGTGGCATGAGAGGTCCCTCTTTAGGCCTTCTCAATCCCAATTTTAGCTGAGGTTTGTTTAATTCCACAACTCCAATGGGACACCTGGCCCATCTTAAACTTGCACACACCCACCTGCAAGTGTGCTAGGCTTTGCTGAAGGGAGTCCTCTTAGGGTAGGTTCCCTAGCAGCACGAGAGAGGAGCCAGCCTTTGTACCCGCTTTATCACTCAGTCATCAGCTGTGGGGAGCAGGCACGTGTAATCAGCTTGGAGCAGTTCCCCCGGAAGTGGGCAGCAGCTAATATTCACAGTATCCTGACGGTGGTGGAGGGGGGCTGGGAGCAGCAGCCACTGACCCTGTAACTGGACCTGGCGGGCACCACCAGCATCCACGACAGGGAAGAGGTGGGAATGGTGCTCTGAAGCTTCCATCACAAAAACACAGCTTCACAATCAGCATGAGGCTCTCAGTTCCTCAGTGTCCCAGGCCCACCCCTCAGGGGGCCCTCCACACCCTCCTCAACCTCTTTTCTCCCTGTTTTTTGCCCCTCTTTCTGTTATCTCCCCACCCTCTCTGGAATGAACAAACAAAAAGTCTGATTTTCTTCCGTAGAACAGTTTAATCATTTTTTTACTCTTCTGTTGCCTGAGCTGCTGCCAACACTCTGTATCTGGTGACCAGCATCCCGGTTTGTCAGGTTTAGCACTAAAAGTCCCACATCCCAGAAGCCCCTCTGTCCTGGGAAAACCAGAACACTTGGTCACCCTCTGAATTGCTCTTTCAGCCACTGTGACTTACAGAGGCTTCCTCCCAAATGGAGAGTAGGTATGGTGTTTGCTAAATTGCCAGTCATCTTTTCTTTTGGATCAGGAATGGGTGGTGAACTCATCAAATGCTGCTACAGCCTCTATTAAGAGACCCACATGATTTAATCTGCCAGTGGAGGAATTACATTAGCATGCTTCCCAATCTTGAATGGTCCTCTGTTGCTAGAATACTTCATACTGAGCACACTGTGTGTTTTCCATGATCTCATGTTTGATTTGATATACTAATATTTTGTAGGTAACTTTTGTTTCCACATGAGGTTCATTTACAGTTTTCTTTGGATCCTTGTGTCTAGGTTGGTGCCTAGAATAGACTTGCCTTATAAACTGAGCTTGGGAACTTATCCACTTTTGCTCATTTGCTTTCTGCCCGGCCTGAGCACATGAGCCAAAAATGAGAAAGAAAAGCTATTCAAAGGTATCATACAGGAAACTTTCCTCAAGAGGAAGAACTTAAGTTTTCATCCCAAAGACATATGTGCAGAAAAAAATTTGTTGAAAGTGATAGATATCAAGAAATATAGTAGTTAATAAAGAAAGTAATTCTTCGTGCATTCACAGAGGAAAAAGGCATTTTCAGAGGGAGAGGGGTTCATGAACTCATAACAGTTTCACTCTTTTCCTCAGCAGTTTTCAATCCAGTGGATAAGAGAGAAATGTCCACAAACTGCAGTGAAAATGTGAACCTCAAATGCTGTGACCATTCAGTTTGTCATTTGAGCCAAAAAGCAATAGGAAAACATTACGAAAGAATGTGAAAGAACTCAGGAAATATAGCACCTAGGAACTCTTCTTTACAAATCTAATTGAAAGTTCCATCCAGGCAAAGTTTATCCAAAGGGAAAGGAAACTGGAGAAGTGATGATAATTAGGGGGGAAGATAGAGAGGTGGAGGGAGGTGGGAATAACCCCAATCCTGGGACTTTCTAGAGCAAAGCTGTGGGAAGGCTGTTGTAAAGGCAAAACTGTGTATGTTTCAAGTTGTCCTTGAAATATAAAAATCAAGAGACAAGGGTTCTCTAGTATGAAGAACTCAGGCAGCAAATCACCCATGATTCTTCGAAAGAAAAAAAAAGCTATTTCACAATAAAATAGAGTGTCAAAATAGAAAAAAATAATGGAAAAGTCATGAAAAATGACGAGCACTGAATATAATAAAATATAGCAAAAAAGGAACCCTGTGGAAGAGAATCCAAAAGTTACAAACTTAGACAAAAAAAAAATTCAGTGAACAAAAATAGGCAGAGGATCTTCAGAGGAAAAAAAATCCCTACCAATTTCCTCATCTTTTAGAATCCAAAGCCAGATCAAGTTGTCTAGAATTGAAACATTTTTAAGATAAAATGACTTGCAGCTCGTATTGTTTCTCGTAACTTGTTTTTCTTAATCTGAGGGACGCTTTTAAGAGTGATGGGTTTTGAATTGAAGAAACATTGTTTCCATTTCACTTCAGGTTTTTCACTGCTGCTGTTAAATTTAAGCAAAATTTGACAATTTTATTTTTAAATAGCGTGTGTGAAATAATCCCATTCTATCAAGCTGTTTTTATTTGTGAATCTGTACATATTCCAGATATTGAGAACGTCCACCACCCAATTTTAACAATTTTGTCTGGATGGTGGGATGTTAGATTGCAGAGGGGGGCTTCTAATTTCCTCTTCTTTTCTTTTTGCTTCTCTCTTTTGCTTACATTCTTTGTGATCATGCATTATTTTTATAAAATCAAAAAGGTCATTATTCTCAAAGAAAAGAAAGCAAGAGAGAAAGGGGGTGGTAGGCAAAGGGGAAAGGAGAAAAGGTTCAAGTATAGAAACGTGACTCAAGTTGGTTGATGGCACTCACTCCTATAATCACTGCTTGAACCACTGGGGAAGGGGGGGTCTCTCTCCGCTTGACCAGCTACCCTGGTCAGATGACAGCACATAGACAAAGGGGGCATCCACATGGGGGAGCCTGAAAGAGGATTAAGCTCAGACAAAGGACAGCAGATAAACACATAAAAATAGAGAGCAGTTGAGCCCCTGGATCAAGCCATGCCTGAAGCCTAAGCCTTTCAGTTACTGAGTCAATAAATTGCCCTCTTTGCTTAATCCAGGTATATAATGATTTTCTATCATATATAACTGCAAGCATTCCAAAAAAGCAGCCTCCAAAGGCCCTTCTAGTTGACATTTGGGAATTCTTCTATCTTATAAATGCTTTCCAGCTAAGCTCCTGCCAGTATTCCTGATTAAGTCTCAGTTGCACATCCTGTTCCCAAGGCTAATTGTCAAGTAAAGCAGTAGCAAGTGGCCGAGCCCCACTGAGCTGACACTGAGGTGGAACAGCATGCCACATGTGATATTTCCCTCATGCCCAAGACACCACTCACTGGCCTCATCCTTCACAGACTCTGCCCAGGCAGTCCTACTCTTCTTCCAAAGAAGTACAAGGGAAGACTTCAGCTCTCCCACTAATTTCCAGGAAGGAAAACTCTGGGATGGAAAGCAAGAGGAATTTAAGCCAAGCGTCAGTTTAAAGGTGACTTTGATAAAGATCCAGGCTGACTTCCCCCAGGACGATGGTCCTGTGGGAGCATTGTGCATGGTTAGCCCCAAAGGCTGCTGTTGGTGAGGACAGTAAGTTAGGAACTCCAGGCTCCCATGGGTCCCAGAAAATGAGATGGGGGTGCAGGTGAGAGGCACCAGCCTGAACTTCCTCCCATGGCCGACCGAGCCCCACACTGGAATTTCTGGCTCCCTCCCTGCTTTCCTTGGCTTCTATAGATAGGGGCCTGCCTTTCCCCCACCAGCTATGAGCTCAGAGTGAAGAGCTGAAACATGACCATATCTGAGCATCCTCAGCCCACCCTGCCCTGGCCCACAGTGTTCAGAGCCGAATGAACAAGTGAATGAGTGCATGAATGAAGCAGGTTCTGTATACCTGGCACGATCACGATTCTTGGCTCTGGAGGTCCCAGGAGTTAAGGCAGGCAGGTCCCTGCTCCCTGGTGCTCACGTTCTTTCAGATCACACATCAAAATGAGAGAAAGGAGAGGCCATCTGGGCAGGGACCTGGCGTTGGGGACATCAGGTCGCCTTGGGCAATCTCTGCCACTTAGAGTTGCCCAACCTCCTAACTAGCGCTGTCTCCTGTCCAAGCCAATTTCTTCAAGTGTCTGCAGCAGACGTGGCATCTGCAGGTTTCTCTGAGCGGCAGAGCTGCCACAGGGCAGCACCGGGAAGAGACTTGGGGACAGGAGCCCAGGAGGAAGCAGCCCTCTCCTCTCCTGAGTTCCTGCAGGGACTTAATTCAGCCTGGTCTCCAATTGCCCAGAATCGTCATTTCTGAAATGGGCTTTCCCATCGAGTCCTCATGTGGTGCTGAGTGTCGCGATCATCTTATTAGAATCGAGAACCCATTCCCTGACCAGACCTGGTGTGATACTTCAGGCATTGGGGGCTGGGGGGACCTACGCAAGTAAGCTGCCTCCTCCTTCGCAGCGACCAGCCCTGGGGCTCTGTGAGGTCAGAGCAGGAGGTCCTGGGGGGCCCCTTCTGCAGGGCCTTGGGATCTTCCTCATTCTCTATTCACATAAGAGAGCCACTCAGATACTCAGGGTCAAATAAGTCCAAGGAATTTCTATGTCCATCCAGAGAAGGGAGACAGCTAGCCAACTCTCCCTTAAAAAACAGTAAGTTGTGCACTCAGGCACCTGAGATGGCGTGGGGGAAGGGATCATGCTCCCATTTCACCAGTGGAGAAACTGAGGCCCCAAGCGGGGACATGATTTCCCCAAGGTTGTGGAGAGCCTCCCCTGTGGACTCCTGGCCCAGTGCTCCTCCCTGTGCTGCAACGTGGAAGCTGGGGAACCTTCTCCTCTCATACTGAAGTCACTGAGACACAACCCAGTGGTCCAAAATATGAGGTGCAGGAAGAGGCAAGAAGATTACACGCAAAAAGGAGCCAAATTTGATGATTCTCCAAAATTCTCTAGTTATTTGAAAAACAGTCCCTTCTCTGAAACTTCTCCAGGCCTAAGATGTTACCAAATACTTTTTAAAGTCGCAGATTAAATTGTTTCTGATATTTTCAGGAGCTCCATGTCAGAAGCTGATGTTAATATTTCATGAGAGACAGGCCCTGTGGAACAAATGCAAAATCAATGCCATCTGTCTCCAGGAAGCTACTCGAGATTCTAGACATCAGAGAAACCTGACGCAAGCAGATTCGGGAGCGACAGATAGCCCCACAGAGGCGGGGAAAGATGGAAGGGGAAGAGATTCGTTTGTAGTCAAGAGAAATCCCCCTCTGATTGTTAAAAAAAAACAAAATTAGTGAGATTAGGCCATTTCTGAATTATTCTTCCTTCTTTAATATCCTCAGTCCAAACACAAGTTTGTAACACAAGCAATGCACTTGGCAGCAGGGTGGTATGTGGTCAGATAACAGGAGAGACTTCCTCAGCGAGAGATGTGGCATGCAGGAAGAGGTCAGGTGAGGCTGATCAGTGTGAATGCCAGTTAGCCCAGAGGCAGGGGACTGCACACGATGGCCTCCCACGGCGCTTAAGGCCAAGTCTTCTAAGAAGGCTGGCTCGGCAGATATACGATCAAAATACCGCTCTAAGAAGAGGGGGTGGTTAGAAAGCACCCTGAGGCTTCGCAGACTCACCAGAGGACCACCTAGGCTTGGGAAATGGGCCAAGCTGGCTCCAGAAGTCCAGGCTGCGGGATGCACTGCGACCACTGAGTCAGCCATCTGCAGGCTCCCTGGGGAGCACACAGCAGACTCCTAGGGTGGCCGGTCCAGGCAGGTACCTGTGATCCCCTGTGGATATGGCCGCTCTGGCTCTGATGTCCCTGAAGACTACAGAGCCCTTGAACGTCTTCCCTTCCTGCTTGCCATGGTTGCTTGTGTACGTCTTATCTCTATGATGACCCCACACCCCAGAAACTAATGGGGACACAAGGGGCAGATCTGAGATCAGGGGAATTTCGGCCGATGGGCGTCCTTGTCACGGCCATGGACCATCACAGGGCCCTATGCAGTCCTGTGTGCTCCAGCTTCTCTGTACGTCAGTGACATTTGCTGGTCCAGCACACAGAGCATCACCACCCCACTGTCCTGCCTCCTCCCTCTGCCCATTTCCGGCTCTCCTCTCCCAGATGGTGTTGAGTGGGTGCTGTGGAAGGTCAGTCCACAGTTCTCCACGGCACCATCTCCTCTAACCCTCTGCCCTTTGGCTGTTGAAGGGGTCATGCCTCTTGTCCCTTTTGCTCTCTCTTCAGCCTGGTTTCCCTGAGGACTGCCTCGGTCCTTGATTGGATTGGGGCCGCGTCAGGCAGAGCGCTTCGGTGATAAATGATATTCATTGCATGGCTGAATTGGAGCAGATCTGCCAAAGGACAGACTGCCACGCTGCTGCAGCCATCAGGGTCACAATGAGCAGGGGCCTCGGGGGCTGGACAAATGTGTCTTAATGTGGCTTGACAGTCGGGACCTAGGGTGACAAGTGACAGAAGCACAGTCCAAGCCAGATCCAGCAAAGAGGGAGGATGTGTGGGCTCAACAACAAACCCCAGGAAGGGTGGGGGTCCAGAGGGGCCTTGGGGAGGAACTGGGTCCTCAGGACTCTGCTCCATCTGTCACTTCTGTCTCTTCCCACGTGAGCAGCATCCTGTCAGAGATGCTTCCATTGCACGGCCAGACTGTGGCAGCCACAGCTCCCAGGCTCCCAGTTTCCCTGCTTCCCTAGGGATGATGAGGTTGGGGGTGAGCGTCTTCCCTTGGCTCCTAACTGAAAACTCCTCCCGATTTGCTGGCTTGGGTCACATCCCCCTCACCCCAGGATCTGCCTGATGGAGCGAGGGAGAAGTTCCCCCAAAGAGGAAGCGTGCTGCTGTTAGAGAAGAGGCAAGGGTGCCGTCCCAGCGAAGGGGAGGATGCTCACAATGCGGCTGGTCTCCAGCAGCACCCTGAGGAACCACCTCTGTCAGGGATCCTGCATCCGCAAGAGCCAGCCTGTGTGGCAGTTGTACACCTTCTGTTATCTGACTGGAGCTTTTCCTGGCTTCACCCCAATCTGTGGAGAGGCTGGCTGGTAGTGGAGGGGGGGCTCCCCTCCCCAGATGTGGTCTGAACAGGGCCCTCAAAGCTTCAGTTTCAACGAAACACACAGTCAGCTCGCTGAGCATGTGTATGCGTCAGCTAGGGCTGTGGTAACAAAACACCGCAGACCGAGGGGCAACCGACATTGATTTTCTCACAACTTTGGAGGCCAGATGTTTAAGATCAAGGTGCCAGCAAGGATAGGTTTCACGCTGAGGCCTCCTTTGGCTTGCAGGCAGCCGCCTTCTCTGTGTGTACCCACATGTCCTTTATCCTGTGCTTGGGGTGGGGAGAGAGAGGGATCTCTCTTCTTCTTCTTAAAAGGACATCAGTCCCATGGGATTAGGATGACACTCTTCTGACCTCATTAACTTCATTACCTCCTAAAGACCCCATCTCCAGATACAGTCCATTGGGCATTGGGAGTTAGAGCTTCAGCATATGAATTTGGGGGACACAGTTCCATCCATAGCAGTATACCAGGTACCCAGTGGCACGGGCAATGGAAGAAGCCTGCAGGCAGTGTGTCCCTTATGCCCTTCAGGTCCCAGACACTGCCCAGCCCTGGCACTGGGCTGAGGGTGGGTACACCTCCGAGCACACAGTCAGGCCCTGCTTGTAGAAGGCGTCCACCATTCTCTGCAACACTCTGCCCACCCTGGAGGTGTTACTGAAGGCAAGAGCGTGTGCCCGCTGCACCATGAGGCCAAATAAACTGAAACATCGGAGTCTGGAGCAGAGAAAGTTTTACTGCAGGGCCAAGCAAGAGGTGGCTCATGTCCAAGAAAACCCCCAACTCCTCAAAGGGTCTCAGCAAAGTATATTTAAAGGCCAGGTGAGGAAGGGGGGTCGCAGAGTACGCGATCAGCTCGTGCACAATTCTCTGACTGGTTGATGTTGAGGGGAGTCTCCAGACATGTGCTCCACGGGCAGAGGGACATGGAGGCAGAGCGGCAGGTACCTACAGCAAGAAGCTGCTGGTGTGCAGGGCAACCGTGAGTGACAAGGGGATACGGGCTGGTCACGACGCTCTCCGAGCAGGCACCTCTCCGGGGCTGAGACCAGCCCCAGGTGACCAGGAGAGGGCAGGCACCCCACAGAGCTTAGTCTCTATGGACAAGCCCAGGCCTCATTCCAAATGACCAAAAGCCACCACTGGGAGCTGGGCGCCTCCCTGGGGCTCCTGCCCGCCCACCGTAAGTGTAGGAAGCCATGTGCCCAGGTTGGCTGCTCAGAAGCGACTCATCCTGACCCGGCTCTGTGAGCACATGGCAGGACGAGGACAAAGACTCAATCTACCAAGTTAATCAAGTCAGATAATTCTCTTGTCTGCATCATAATTACTTTCTTCAGAGGAACACATTATGGCAAAATGTTGGGGATTTTTTTCAAAGAAAAGTCATTTTCCTCACTACTATTATTTTTAATGAGCTAAGTGGTGCTAGTTTTTAAATTGCAAACAGAGTAGTTGACAATTTTAATTTTCAACAATTGTGGTTAATGCTACTAACGGCTTCCACCATGGTTCATACCCTTTAGTCTAAAACCCAAACCCCAAACCTCTATACTTTAGAATAAAAACATGATTTGGGCCAATTAGTGACCGCCTTGTGCATCCCACTGACCCTTCTCTGAAAAATCATTCTGTGCTGTACCCATTTTTCAGAATCATGAGGTGTACCGGGGACCTTTGCTGGGAAGTGGAACAGTCTAGGGGAAAAGGTTAAATTTAGACCCTTTGGCTCCTGACCTGAACTGAGCATCAGAGGGGCTCAGCCATTCCCTGCAAATGACTCTGCCACCAACAGTATGAAACACTCCAACACAAAATCACCAAATGGACAGCGAGCAGCAAACAGCATGCTGTGGGCTCCTTTAAAAATAAGCCACATTGTTCCCCAACTGCCTATTAATAGCTTGAAAAGACATCTGCTCCTAATTTGGTCTCCTCAAACCAAGAAATCTTCCCTTCACTTCCCTCCAGGGCCCGGGTGAAATCAATCAAACAATGAAATTTATCAAGCACCAGGCACATTCTGGCCCAGGGCTTGGAGCCAAGTCTGCAATCCGACCCAAGCCACCCAAAAGCCTAGGTCTGCAGGGAGCAGGCATCCTTTCTCCAGCACCAACATCCTTCTACACTCAACCAGTGCAGAGACCACTAAGGGAGAACCCAGTGTCGGTAAGTCCCACCCACTTCAGTACCCAAGAGCCCTCTGCTTCATTATCAAGGGTCAGCTGTAGCATCAAATCCTGACTCCAGGCATAGCCCACCTTGGACTCCGCCAGTAACAGGCAGCTCACTGCTTCTCAGGGTGACTCTTCATCACTGAATATCTGTGGCTGTTGAACACACGTAAAATCCATCTCCCCTACTAGGTCCAATTCTGCTCTCAGGGGCTACATGTAGCTGGCCAATTCTTCTGCTTATGACAGTCCTTCAGCTACTTGAGGAGAGATGTCTGCTGTCACTATGGCTTCTCTCCAGCTTTGATATCTGTTATGGACCCAATGCCCAGACAGGACAACTGAGTCTAGTAACATAAAGCCACAGGATGGTTCTGCCTCATTCCTGGGCAGCACCCCTGAGTCTTCGAAGTGTCTCCCCAACGCCCACTCCTGCAGTTCCAGACCACAGCTCACACCCCCCGGCACTCCGTGCTCGCTCCCACCTGGGGACCTGCCGGCTCTTCTCTGCCCAGCATGATTGCTCCAGTTTCTACACAGCTGGTCCCCATCTCAGCATTCGGGTGCCAGGTTGCAAGTAGCCTTCCCAACCTCCCTGCTAAAATGCACCCCCATCATGCCCAGGCACACTGTTCTTTTTTAATTCTCTGCACAGCAGTGAACACTATCTGCTTTATTTTTCTTCCTTTTTATTCACGTGTTTATTATCTCTCTCCCTCTCTAGAATGGAAGACCATGAATAAGCACAGGGTGAGAACTCCATAAATGGTCGTCATTTGAATAAAGAAAACAACTTTCCAGGCAGAAGAAACGGCACCTGGAGCCGAGGTGCCCAGAAAAGCCTGAGAGCCCACTGATTCCGAGCGCCGGCTTTGGAGTAAGAAAGATGCAGGTCAGCCAGCTGTGTGGCCTTGGGCAAGTTACTGGACCATCCTGAGCCTCAGCTTCTGCACCTGCAAAATGAGAACAGTAACAGCACACGCCTCTCGATGCTGCGACTGAGGTGGAGTTTACAGAGCACTGGGCACAGCAACGGGTTTAGAACAAACCCTCCATCTCTGGGGCTATGGTCAGTAGTGGGGGGAACCTGGGGACAGAGTACAGAGGGCCCAAGGAGCCCTGCCCTGCGGAGGGAGGTGGGGCGGGGCTGGATGGCGCAGACATGACAGCACAGTGGGAGGAGCTACCCAGCCCCGGGAGCTGAGGGCGGAAGAGCCGGAAATCGATGCTACCACTGGAGCCCAGGCCGGGAACCCACCCCTGACCCTGACAGCTGTTTCCCACCCTTCTCCTTTCTACCCCTTGGAAGAGCCTCAAGCCCTCTGGAGCCCTGGAGCTCAGGGAAAGTGGCAAAGGGGGCACAAAATCCACAGCTGTCTCATCTGCTGCTCACATCCCCTGGGAGTGTGAGGCCAGTGAGAGGGGGGCAGGCCCAGCACTTCAGGCACAGCCTTCAGCATCCCTTACCGGAGGCTCCGAGGGCCTCCTCTGCAGCCAGGGTCAGCTCCCCATCGGCAGG